CTGTCAGCAAACCTACGTCACACGTGTCAGTCTTCACAAACGCGTCTTTGTCAGGTTGGAGAGGCACACGCATGTCTCGAGCAGTGGGGGCGCTGTGGCCATCCCACACAGCAGCTCATGTAAATGTTTTTGGAGTGTCGCATGGTTTTTAATGCGATTCAACACTTTCAACACGAGAGAACGCTCAGTGTCAACTATGGTTCTCACTGAGCCCGTGAGACGAACCACCGCTAGGGGTGGATGCGTTTGCTCACAGCCCGTGGCCCAAAATGCTTCTTTACGCATTTCCCCCACTCCCTCTGATATCACGGTTTTCTGAACTGAGTTCAGGAGGAGGGACTGACAGCTCTCCTGGTGGCTCCCGAGCGCATGAACGCCCCATGGTTCCCAGTTCTACGACACCTGTTATCGCGGCGCCCGTGGAAACTGCCGTGGAGGGAGGATGCTCTCCTCAAGGCGGGAGGAGCAATCAGGAGTTACCCAGAAATAGGCCAGCACCTTTGAGTCTGGCCGCTGAGCAGATCCGCTTAGAGAGGATTGGTTTCTCTCAAGATGTAGTGTGTGTAGTGAGAGAGCCGAGAGATGGATTCAGCTCAGGGGTACTCTCTTACATTTTACAATATCTGGACTAGTTCAAGTACATGATATTATACTTAATTTAAACGGATTCTTTCATTTTTCTGGACTAAGTCATATCGTGCTTTGTGGAGTAAATGTGGACAGAGACGTGTTTAAATTTCTGACTCACCAACAACAGTGGGTCGTTTATTTTAAACGATTTAAAAACACATCACACATTTACATTAATTGGCAGATTGATTACAATTAACACAGCTTAATTAATGAGCTTTACAATGAGAAATCATACGGCCATGATTTCTCACTTGCAACTAATTACAACAGACATTTCTGAAAATATCTGGATTAATTACTGGCAAGATAGAAGAGTTTTAAAGATGGGAAATGAAGGAGTTTAAATGGAGAGAAAAGATGTGTGAGGGAAAATCTGTTGATAACGAACGGCACCCTCCATCCGAACCCAGCTCACCCTCGGTACACTTCGGTAGTGGAAATCGACTCTTTACCTTGCAGAAGATATCTCAGCTTCGGTGTGGAGTTCTCTTTCAACGTTACCATTTCAGCATCTCCGTAGGATAGCAGAGAAACGTCCGGAGTAGTGACGGTACTTCGTTCAACAGCACGCTCACCTCCCGGGTGGACTCACATGAGCTGTGAGCCCGTTACCAGAGTTCCACTCAGATGTGGAAGATTCCATAATCCCCACGAGACTCGGAAGAACTCCCAACTAACTCCAGCCCTTCAGAACTTTCGTTCGGTTCTGCTCTCAGAACTTTGAACTCCAGAACTTCTGATCTTCCCCGGAACTTTTGACTGACTGGAACTAGGAAGTGTCGACTTTTTAAAGAGTTCGCTTCCGGTCCCTTTTTTGGGAAATCCTGATTGGTTGAAAGAACCAACAGGGGTGTGGTTTTAGTGACGTAAGAGGTTACTACAAGTCAGAAAAACAGTGAGATGTTTTTGGAACAGACAGAGAAATGTTTTGGAGCAGACAGAGAAATGTTTAGGCGAGATGACAGACTACAGGTGCCAGCTTCTTATTTTCTGTCTGATAGGTTTAAAAACATGACAGCTCATTCCAATAAACTTGTTTGCGACTGTCTCCGACTTTTTACCGACATCACTCCTTCTCATTTCAGACAGAAGATCAAAAAATGCATGATTACTCTAACAGACATTAACTTGATTTCTACTTTGAACGAGGATTAAAAAATCATTAATACCGTTTCACAGTTGATTTAAAATGAGTAGTTCACTTCAATATTTAAAATGGTTTGAACTAAACACACTTTGATTATCAAGATATTGTAAAATAGTAATGATAATATAAAAAAGAGAGTGTTCTTTCAATTGATTAGTGCAGGACACACTTAGAAAGTCTCTGGATGAGCTTAATTTGTATTTCTGGACTCAAATCAATGAAATAACAGTTTCTGTCCCATGAAGGTCCTCAGGGTCAGGTTTTGACCTGAGGCTTAGTTCACTACATGTGTACGATCCAGGATTCACGTGCTGCATCTACCACAGCGCTGTACACATCAAAGTAGACAGCTTTTCAGCGCTGGTGTACAGAGAAAGGTGTAGAGGCCACTATGGAGTTTTATCAAACTTTGTTGTTCAATAAAATTTAGCAGACTGAGAACTTTGTCAAAAACACATAGCAAGGTTTATTTCTCTTCTGCAGAAGGAGAGAACACATGGAACGGAAACGCAGCCCAAGAGTTCTCGTGTGTTCTCTAAAATCATGAGCAATACAGTCTCATTTATACACCTTCACACGTAACAGATCTTGCTTTGACACAACAGGCATTACCTCATTTGCAATCTTATCAGAGTAAAAACAGACAGTACGTTTGTGGTCAGTGACTGGTTCTGGAGCTGGGTTTGAGGAACGGAAGTTAAAAGGTTTCACACTGATGTTGGAGAGGTACAGCTGATACAGTTTTAGATAAGCTTTAACAGAGTGTGATATAAAGTAAATGACTAATAAGAGTGATGATAACATTGATGAACAAAATAAACTGGTATCAATGTTTACAAAGTACTGATCCTTTCTGAGACTCGGAGCTAAAACTGCAGGCAAACACTTTAATTATCATTTTAAAGTAAACTGTAATTGGTGTAAACATATCAAACTTTTATATTAATAACCCAGAAAATATCAACACCACCTCATGTCCACTAGGTGGCGTGCTGTCCTTTCTGCAGCAGTTGATGGACAGAAATCTGGCATTCAGCACGATTAAAACGTACGCTGCAGCCATCTCTTCTTGTCACGAAGGTTTCGGGGACAGAACAGCTTTTAATCATCCGCTGATTAAGCGTTTTTTAAAAGGTGTATAGAGATGCAGGCCTGTTTCACGCCCACTTGCTCCACAGTGGAATTTAACGCTGGTTCTGCGAGCCCTGATCAAAGCTGTATTTGAACCACTGAATCAGGTTCCGATTAAATTCTTGTCTCTTAAAACAGCCCTGCTGCTGGCTTTAACATCCGTTAAGAGGGTGAGTGATTTATCTGACCTCTCTGTCGCTCCGTCATGTCTCAGAATTCAGACTGATGGCAGCTCAGCTGATCTGAGGCCTAACCCAGCGTTTATGCCTAAAACATCACGAGCTCTTTTAAATCAAGAGTGATATCGTTGGAGGGATTTTTCCCTCCTCCCCACAAATCAGAAGAAGAAGCATTTTTCCATCTTCTCTGCCCTGTACGTGCGTTGACGTGTTACGCAACACGCACGGCGGTATTGAGTCAGACTCAACATTTGTTTGTGCACTATAGAGATGCATCTGCAGGTCGCCCGTTATCCACCCAGCACCTGTCACACAGGTTGTGTGAGGCCATTTCTGAAGCCTACAGAGCATCAGATTTAGAGCCTCCTGACAACCTCAGAGCACACTCGACCAGGGGTATCGCATCTTCGACTGCTCTGCATAATGGTATGACAATGCAGGATATTTGCTCTGTGGCCGCGTGGTCAACACCCTGTTCATTTATTCGCTTTTATCTACGTGATGTGTCGGCTCGTTCCATGACACATTCTGTCTTTAGTGTTTTAACAGAACGAATATTGTTGTTTCATGGAACCTCGCTTAAACTCACATCTGACTGCATGCATTTACAGTGTGTGATGTTGTTATCAGTCACAGGTTGTGACTGTTGTTCTTGTTCTATGGTTATTAATCAGTTCATGACTATTGTTACCAATCAGTTTATTTGATTAATAATCAGTTCACTTGTTATTATTAATCTGTTCATATTGAAGAGCCGTGGATCTGCTCTGTTCACGGCCTTTTTCAGCCTCTCCTCTTTTCTGTTGAAAACCTTTCCGGGGCGTTCATGCACTCAGAACGCGTAAATTACGCAGTGCGCATCTGTGCATGGTGCGTGTAATTATGCAATGCGTATTCACGCACATGGAGAGCTGAGTGACAAGATGTTGTTTGGGCAAGCGGGCGCTTCTTATGGTGTTTGAATGGACCCAGTGAGGCGAGGACCACATCTGCTTTGCCCTTAACCCACCAGCGACAGCCTTAAAGGGCGAAGCCTATATGAAATAGAACGTTGGTTACGTACTTTAACCCCAGATTCTATCGAGTATAGGTGTAGCCCTTTAAGCATCGGGCCTCACTGGCTCCTAAATGGCTGAAGAAAAAGCTATTTGGGAGCCGATTACCCGCTCTTAATGTAATTTATACGGACTGGGTGGGGCCCACACAACAGATGGGCGTGGACTAATTTTTTCAGTGCGATGTTTTGCATGACGGGATAAACCCACCAGCGACAGCTCTTAAAGGGCTACGCCTATACTCATAGAATCTGGGGTTACAGTACGTAACCAACGTTTCATGAATATTGTGTTAATGTACTTGACGACGGGGAGGCAGGTCTGACCGGGTAGTAGAGGTAAAAAAAAGTCCTGTTAAGCTTCAGATGAATCAGCTGATGACTTGTGGTGATATTGTGGCTCTCCCCTTGACTTTGATCTGTTAGTATGGCTCTTTTGAAAAAAAGTAGTGAGGATCACTGATTTATACCAAGAAAATCCTCCTGTTGTAGCCAAGTTTCTGTCAGACAGAATAAATCAATATGATGATCAGTTATCAGTTCATTAACTAACAGGGATTTAGAGGAAAGTGATCTGATGTTCAATAATTCACATTTAATGATTTTAGGATTTTGCTCTGGTAAAGTAACTGTGTTTATTTTAATCAGATTTTTATGGTTTATTTTTTAGAGCTGATTTTTGGTTTATTTAATTTGAGCCGTGGGCGAGTTGACACTGTTTCAATGGGGGTGTGGGTGGGTAACAGAGGAGAAGCAGCAGAGAGGGGGAGGACTGTTTCCAAGTAGAACAAGTTACCAGTAATAAAAAGAATGGATGTATGAAGTCTTTACTCCTTTGCCGTTTAATTTGCTTTACCTTCATGGGAATTTTACACCCATCACTGCCTCCTCTGCCTAATTTTCCATAGTCTCCATCTCCCCAAGACCAGACCATATCATCATCAGTGAGACACAGTGTCTGAGCATCTCCACTGCCACAGGCAACATCTATCACCCTGTGACCCTGCAGTGCATCCACCTACACAACACACACACACACACACACACACACACACACACACACACACACACA